TTTGTGCATGTTGTGGAATGATGCTTGACAGTCGTTCCTATAACAAGACATACAGAGACATGGCATACAGAGGAGAGTGTGTGTACCTATTAGAGTGTAGAGACGTTTGGGCCAACCAGCTATGTCAAGAAGTTTCTGTGAGAGGCAACAACCCAAACAAAGAAAGCAGCATCCAGGTTAGAATCTGAAGGGGAAGGAAAAAGGGTGGGGGATGTTGTGCAGCAGCCACCTGCAAAGTGTGTGAGGAGGAAGTTGTTGAAGTTGTTCTGTAAGGTGAAAGAAAATACTGAGCTTTGGACACTCATCCACTCTTCTGGGGGCTGAAAAAAGCAGCAAGTGCACACAAACCTGCTAGAGGATGGTTAGAGCAGGAGGGAAGTCAGGAGTAGAGTGTGGAGAGGCTCATGGCTGGAGCGGGGAGTAGTGTGAGACAAGGCAGAGGCAGAGAAGAAAAGAGTTAGGAGAAGAACAAGGCACAGCGAGAAGAGTAAGGTGTGGAGAGAGAGAGAGAGGCAGTACATGGCTAGAAGAGGCAACTCGGAAAAACTAGTCACAGCTAAGAGGTCAGATCAGCTTTGGTGGGCTTTGGCCTCAGCAGAGCTTAAGCATCTGAACCCTACCAGTCACTACAGGAAGTGGAAAGCAGTCAACTGTCCCAGCACTCAGAAGGCAGAGCAATAAGAAAAAGCAAAGGGTTTTTAATGGCTAGAGCAGTTCCTCTAGTCTCCAGATAGCCTCTTCCCACATGCTGTATCACTCAAAGAAGTGAAGAAAATTACAGTAGTCCTGCATCTGCTGGTTTGGAGTACTTTAAAGCACCACCACTGCTGTTAAAATGACCAAATGATCAATGCATGTCTGGAAGTTACATGCTGTCTTGCAGGGAGGAAGAGTGCGAGCCAACTGTCCTCCAAAACCTAATTTATGTGGAAAAAACAAAAATAAAACAAAGGTCTCAGCCCCTCTAACCAGAAGGACATATGGAACAAAGGTTTCACAAGACTAATGATTTCACGAGTTCTCTCAGGAGCAGTTGCTGAAAAGGCCTCAACCCTCCAGTTGCTTCTTTTCCGAGAGTGGGAAGTTGAAACAATTAATCTGGCTTCACAGACCACCAGCAGATCAGTCTAACTGGGTGTGCTAACTGGTTCCTGACGCTGCAAACCCAACAGGTAGTTGCTACAAATGTGGCTGTGGGTGTTGTACACCAAAGAGAGATGTGGGGAGATGTTATGGTATAAAATAATTTAAAAGCCATGGAGAGTTTGACTAAGGAATTACCACTGGAACACAGCACAGCACAGGAACTTGGAAGCAGCAGCTGAAATGGCTTGCAGAAACTTAGTGAAGACATAAGGAAATATGTTTGTTTTTGTGCAGTACACTGTTACAAAGCTGAACTTGTTCCCACCGGCTGTGGAAGCCAAAATACAAATGGAGTCAGAGGACAAATTAATAGAAGAAAGACAACTTAAAAGGTAACTGAATACAATGATCATAATATACTTTCAGCTGGAGAGGAGCTTGAGAGGCTGGGCAGTGGAAGGGACACAAATGAGAAGGGAAAAACAGAACATGTTAAAATATATTAAGAAGGGGAAATAGGTGGTTTCTTTTACTGTTGCTGAGAAGACAAGGCACTCCATGTAACAGGTTCCATTCTAACAATGCCACATCCATTTATGCTTTTCTGC